GATCACCAGTGCCATCACAATCATCTTTTCCTCTACCAAAATATGAATCCTCATCAAAATCCAAAGCTCATATGGTGTCAAGCAAAAGGAAATCAAAATCGCAATCAAAATCAAAATCTCAATCACAATCGGCTTTACCTTTTGGGACTTATTAACTTAGGTGATTTTTAAATGCAAACATTGTATTATGTGTATTTTATGTGTGAATGCATACATTTTCAATTAGACATGCATTAGTAACTTGAGTTTGAACATTGCTATGATATGTTCAGTTGTTATCACTTATCATATTGTTGTCTTTTATCTTTTTCAGGTGTATTTTATATAGTCAAATATGCAACATGAAAATCAAATTCGCAATGCAAAAATCGTAATGCGAATTTGACTTTCGCATTGCGAATTTGACTTTTGCAACAATCGCAACACGAATTTGACTTTCGCGTTGCAAAAGTGTACCTTCAATAGGTCTTTTTTACCTTCAACATAATGCAGATTGAAAATTAAACAACAAATCAATTAAACATTGTTGTGGGTATATTATTTGAACATTGTTATGGGTGCATTATTTGGAAATTTAGAAAATAATGTTCCGGACTTCGTTAGAAATAACCCTTTTTCATCGGATTAATTTCGTTGTTGTGGGTACATTATTTGAACATTGTTATGTATAAATTTGTTGTGTATGTATATTTTGGTTTGATTATATTGTATGTATATTTTCATTCAGATGGGATGGGTTGTGCATAACAAAACAATCTATCTCTTCCATGTGAGTACTTTATTCCCACCATGTGACAAGTGTGACAACCCCATCAACTCACAACTCAGCTTTGAACTCAATCAATATTGTCTTTTAGCTTGATGGTTCATAAAGAATGTTACTTGAACAATATGAATCAATTATGCAATTTCCATGTTCAATTTAACACTGCATTTCAAATTCATTTCATATGTAATTGAAGTTTGAATTTCAATTTCAATTTGAGTTTGAATTTCAATATAAATTTCGGCTCCACTATAAGCCCGAGCCTTTGTTTTATTCAAACAATAACTTACTCAATGAAATAACTTAGCCAATATGCATGTTATCATTGATTATTCCTAATTTCCATTGTTTTTTTTTTCCAACTTTAAACGCGAGGGAAATCCCGACCATCGTAATTTTTGGTTAACAAGCAGGAAGATTCGATATCCGAATAATTTCTTTCGGATACTATCCATTTCAGTCAGCTCACTGAGATAGATTAACCCTAAACCAAAACTATCTTAGCCAAACATACTTGATGTAGAAGCAGCTGCAGATTTAAAATCTCAATGGTGATGCATTTGGTTCTCAAACAGTTAAAGCGTCAGAAATATTTCGGACGTATGATATGGGTGGTATACGGGAAATGCAACAAATGGCAACTAAAAATCTAGAGAATTTTTGGATGCATTTTGTTGCATTACCTATGTACAACCCAAATTATAAGTCCGAAATACTTCTGATACTTTAAATGTTTGAGAACCAAATGGATCGCCTTCGAGATTTTAAATATGCAGTTGCTTCTACATCAGCTATGTTTCTCTCAGACTATTTCGGTTAACGGTTATCCTATCTTCATGAGCTGAATGAAATGGATAATATTCGGAAGGCATTTTTTTTACATAATTTTATTTCTATATAATTTTTCAATGATTTCTCTCCCAAATTATCAACTATCAACTTAATAAAGGTATGTTCTTCTCTAAGTTAGTGATGATATGTAGTTTATAGCTCGTTTGTTTAGTAAATTAATTTACAATTTGTAGAATGAAATCATCTATTGTTGATCATGTTTGGATAGATTTGTGTTTTGGAGGGTCATGGGAGAATGTTCTTATGGTGTCAAGCAAAAGGAAATCAAAATCGCAATCACAACCGGCTTCACCTTTTGGGACTTATTAACTTAGTGCAGACGTTGTATTATGTGTATTTTATATGTGAATACATACATTTCAGTTAGACATTCATTAGTAACTTGAGTTTGAACATTGTTATGATCTGTTCAATTGTTATCACTTATCAGATTTTTTGTTGTGATTGTTGCGAAAGTCAAATTCGCGTTACGAAAGTCAAATTTGAAACGCGAAATCGCAACGTGAAAATCGCAACGCGAATTTGACTATCGCAACACGAATTTGACTTTCGCGTTGCGAAAGTATACCTTCAACAGGTATTTTTTGCCTTCAACATAATGCAGATTGAAATTTAAAACAACAAATCAACTTTTACAAATCAATTAAACAAGTAAAAAATAAGAATTATTTACACATCAATTAAACAAATCAACTTTTACAAATCAATTAAACAAGCAAAAAATAATTATGATTTCCTCATCAATTAAACAAATCAACTTTACAAATCAACTTTTATAAATACATCAATTTCACGCAGACAGTTTTTTATGCACAAATACATCAATTTCACGCAGCTCACTTCAGGATCAGGATTAACCTGCAGAAACCAAACATTTGCTCAAACAACACTTTTTACACATCTAAAACCAACAAACAACAAATTATCTAGGTACTTAACCAAACATTTTCAAATCAACAAAGAGTATATATGTTAACAATAATTGCTCAAACTTACCAATTTGTGTTGTTTATGCACACTTTCAGTACGCGGATGTAGGTAGGCAGTGTCTCGCATATATCACTCTAGCCATTAAATACCGAAACCACAAGCCTACTGCACCTCTATCTCTATCTGTGGGAGGTAGAAACTGTTTACTTCTTGTCGTCAAACGTTCCAAGCACATGCATACGAGAAGACCACAATCCCCTCTGGCTCCCTGCATTTGTTGTGGTGCGGTCTCGTCTCTGATCATTGTAACTTTGAACTTCTTTGGCTTCTTGTTTCCAAAATTAGTCCAATAATCAATCGCATCCAAGTATTTAGCCAAATGAGCGCTTCATCCTTTACAAAAAATATCTCTCAAATCAGATAATGGTATGTAATTCAACATGTTGTCATATACATTTGTCTTCAGGGATGGGAGTTGAAGCTCGACGAGAAGCCAATGATGACGTTCCAAAACAGCTGCAATCATAAATAATAATTCAATTGCGCACATCAAATTTTTATTTATGAACACCTTTAAAATATTCAAAAATAAATACTAACCTTATCGACCTCCCACCACGCAAGATAAAGTTTAGCTTTTCTATTACCCAACATATATGAAGTGTCTATCTGATCCTTCAAGTGAGCTATGTGAAAAGACGTCGGCATAATAGTCCATCGCGTATTTTTTATTTTCTTCAATTTCCTTATTATCAGAAGACGTGACACCCATGCATCAATATGTTGTTTTATAAAAAAAAAGTATATATATTAGTGAATTTCATAAATTTTAAAAAAAATTAATCAAAATGCAATATAAGAAGAATATAAGACTTACCCCCTCGAAATAGCCATTGTCTTCAACCCCTAATAACACACCCCACCAAGACCGATCAAGAAACAAATGCATATCATCGTCGAGTTTACATATGTCAGCGTAACGCCCCTGGCTCCGCTCATGTAGATAAAAATCAACTGTGGTCTTAGCCCAAAGGGTATTATCCATAATTGTGTCTAGTAGTGTTCTCCTCTCCACTTCAAATACCAGAATAGTACTGACCGATAACTCATACAAAAGCCAACTCTTATCCATCATGTCGGGCACTTGAGGGGATTTATCAATATGTCGACATATTATGCCATGTGATTCGGACTCTCGAACGGTGGGAGGGACCTCTTGAACGATGACAGGGGCCTCTTGAACGGTAGGAGGGGCCTCTTGAAGGATGATAGGGGCCTCTTGAACGATGACAGGTGCTTCGGGCTTCTTCTTACGGAGTCTTGGCACTATTGGTGTGAATGGAAACGTAATGACACATGCACGACGTCTGATGCGTGAACCCCGTCGTGCAAGAAAAACCCGACGTAAAGCATCTACCTTATCGGGCCTCTAAAAATAAATTAATACATAAATCAATAAATAAACAAATAAATAATGCCGAAAAAATGTTATTTGCATTTTTAGTATAATATTAAACAAACTTACCTCATTGCATAGAGTATGAACCTCATTCTGCAACGATGTAATAATCTCATGTTGAGCGGCTACCTCATCACGTAAAGTAGATACCTCACCACGTAAAGTAGATACTTCACCACGTAAAGCACCATTGTCATCACGTAAAACCTCTACCTCATCATGCCATGCACCATTGTCTTCACGTAAAGTACTTACCTCCTCACGCAAAGCATTTACCTCATCACGTAACTCCCCTAACTCATCCCGTGGAGGTGTAGAACAGGGATATAAATGTCGTGGCATCTTTGCCGATCGCCTATCATGAGGTGATGGTGGAGAAGAGGCTCGATGATGTGATTGAATAGGTGATGGCTCTCGTTGTGTAGGTGTATAATCGACTCGATCAGGTGATGGCTCTGGGTGAGGTGATGGCTCTCGAAGTGGGGGATGCTCATCATCCGTGCCATCAGAAAAACGCTTACTAGCTTGCCACCAATCAGTGGCAAGCTCAGCCTCTGTGGGTGTTAGCCTCTGTAATGGATAGTTGGCCTCATGACAATATAAAAGCTCAAACAAAGTTAAATGTCTACTAGTAATAACTTGTTTATATATAGTAGTATTTTGGAAACATTATATAGAAATTTTTACCTTAAAGGCCCAAATAAAGCCTGCCAAAGTGTATTTGGAACCATGGCTACGCAAACTTTTTCGGTCCTCAAAGGTAGACGACAATTTTTTCCAGGTAGCTTTCCATAGATATGAACCCCACGGAAACATGTTTCATGCATTTAGGTCCTCTACCAATAATATTAGGTCCTCAGAAATAGGTTGTCCGACCTTTTTGCCTAAAAAGTCGGCATGCAAAAGTAATAAATGACATACTCGGACAACATCGAGGTCATTCATCCGAATAAAACTATCTTTAATAAATAATCTCTTCAAGTCGTCGACGTGTTAACTCGGCTTTGCCTTTGCCAGCTCAGGAAAAGCCCGAGATAACCATGATGGGCAGACGATATGACTAGTATACAGACCTACATCATCGTGTCCGAAGCATAGACCAGTGATTAAGCAAAACTCCTCCCGCCCAAAACAAGTATACGCCGGAGGAAAATGAAACCATATCTCTTCATCACTACGTTGTATCCTCTCGGGTAGATCGTTAGTCATGGTCTGAAGAAACAAATGGGTCAACATAGCATCTCCACCCGGATGTTGTACTTTCAGCCATGGCCCGAAGCAAGTATCCTCAAATAATTTTCTTTGTACAGGTGTAAGTGACGCAATTGTAGTAGCTAGGCTTAATTTATTCCTTAAGGTCAATGAAGCCGAAAAAAATTTCTACAAAAATAATAAACATACCAAGTTAGATATACTAAAAACTACAAATTATACACTATAAACAGGCATGATATTAAACAGTGAAAACAAAGCCAAATATGTTTCAAACTTGCACGGTATTCACCCAAGTCATTATTCTATCATAGTTTACAAAATGCATCAGATAACATTCCAGAAGTAAGAACTTATATAAACATTTAAAACACTACAACAATATTGACCTATTGCGGCATTTTTTTAGTCCTATAGCGGCATTTTTAAGCGCCGCTAAAAGCACTCGCGGCGATAGTAAAAACGCCGCAAGAAGCGCCGGCGAAACCAGCGCCGCTAAAGTTAGCGGCGTTTGTGAACAAAAAATGCCGCAATAGGTCGAGATCTATAGCGGCGTTTTTGGGACAAACGCCGCAATAGGTCGAGATCTATAGCGGCGTTTTTGGGACAAACGCCTTAATAGGTCGAGATCTATAGCGGCATTTTTGGGACAAACGCCGCAATAGATCGAGATCTATAGCGGCGTTTTTGGGACAAACGCTGCAATAGGTCGAGATCTATAGCGGCGTTTTTGGGACAAACGCCTCAATAGGTCGAGATTTATAGCGGCGTTTTTGGAACAAACGCCACAAAAGGTTAGATCTATAGCGGCGTTTTTTGATACAAACGCCGCTAATGACCGTTCTTTAGGTAATATTAATTGATTTTCCATATTCCATTTTTGCTATACATCACCTAAATTTAATATCATGTAATCTAATTAACAACAACCATAAATTTTAATTAAGATACAAATTATGCCGAAAAATACTTAACAACAAAATAAATTAAAATTTATAAACACTAAAATTAAATGTAATGTAGTTTGACATTGTTCTCTAGAATTTAATCTAGGTTATTTCACTTTAAATTAAAAAAAACAATTTTCCTTGTTTGATGAAGCATCGTTAGTTTTTTCCTCCCTGTAAACTGTATATGGAGAACATCTTCATCCATTTCACCAAATAAATCCCCTAGCTCCGGTTCACCAAGAAGACTCCTTGCACGCTTAAATGCTTCACTTGAAACAGATAACGACCTTCCACCTACAGTATGTAACTTGATTGGAGGTGGCTTGGGAATTGAATCAAACAGTAAACAAAAAAATCAAAGTAAAAAAGAGAAGCGTTTACTTGGAGTAACAGTAGAGGCACCGTCTTCTTCATCAAGGATAGATAATGGTTTTGCAATTGAAGATTTTTTCAACGCCATAGATTCCCCCAATCCGGTTCTAAACATCGGGTATTTATCCACTTCTCTATCATCGTTCTCAATAATCTTCGAACATCCTGCGTACGATCTATGAAATTTGAGAGTACAAAATAAAAATATAACGGCGAAAAAATTCAGAGATTATTACCTTGAAGTAGGAGATCGACCATGGAACGGTATGGAGCAATAGGAGTTACTTTCGGGTCATCATAGGGTTTCGACGGCATGAACGGATCGGAATCCTCCCAACGATAATTTGATCCGGCGTTAGAGCAAATACGCCACGTGGACATTCTGACGATTTTGCTTAGGGATTGTGGATTAAATTTTCTAAAGTTTTATCCACAATCAATTTCTCTTACTCTGTCCATACATATGGGTGATCGAGTTTATAAATCTTCTCTTATATACCTCATTGTTTCAGTTAAAGAGCAGCACAAAAAACGCGCATTTCAAATGAAGTAAACAAAGGAAATAAAGTAACTCAGAGGTTATATATCCTTAGTTAAGGCTACTTTAACTAATCACTTAAAGTAACAAGTAATATTGATAGTATAAAAACCAAAATTGATGTTAAGAAACATAAATAGACTAATGATCTCACTTAGACTCCAAGTCTTAACATTGCGGAAAACCAACAAGATGGAGAGATGCAAATAAAATATCCTGTTTTCAAGGAATAATAATTCTGTTTGACAGGAAAAGTGAGTGCAGCGTACATTGGTGCCTGCTAATTGTTCTTTAAAACTGTATGTGAATTGAAGGACCACTTTGCAGGCTGAAATATAAAGAATGCAAAATACAAAATAAAGCAAGAGTTGTTGATAAATAACAAGGAAGCATAAATAATCAAGAGCACTGCAACTACAAAATTATCAACAAAATTAAATCATGATTCAGTTTAGTTTCTTTGGGTTATTGCTTTCAAATGGATTTCTTATTGTGAAAATTTCGGCTGGACGTGAAAAGAAATGGCTTCTTTCGGTTGTCGATGGAAATTGGCCTGTTTCATGGTTTAGTTGATGTCTTGACTTCTCGTAAAGGGTGTAAGGGCCACTTAATACGGTCCATTTTAGAGTGAAATGTAACTAAAATGTGATATGATTTCTATGATAATTGCGGCCACGTAGTGGTATGGTATGAATACGGTCCAATACATGCCATTGTCGAGACTCAGATTATCTGTCTAAACCACAAGTTGAAACGTATGCCAACCCACAAACAAGGACTAAACATTTTCAATACATGAGGATTTATCCATACATATCACATTGCAATTATTTGCTCGAATGTAAGCCAATATTATCCATTTGTCGGATAACTAAGCCACTTGTTTTAATAATGAAGGATATCATACAGCAGATCCACACATTACAGGTAACTAACCATTTTTTCATGTAAGCCATAACACCATAACAGAAGCTGGGGAAAGAAAAAAAATTGTACCTGGAAGCTGGTGATGCTCTCTTTCAACTCCACATACTTGACAGGAGCACCAGTGAACACTTCTGCTACATGGAAAGGTTGTTGCAGGAGCTGGATCCGTCAAGTCATCAGCAGGCACATAAATGGCTTGCACAGATGTGATAGAACCTTTCTTGGTGGTGGTAATACGCTCTTGGAGGCCTCCAAGATCAGTAGCCAAAGTCGGTTGGTAAGCAACAGCAGACGAAATTCGACCAAGCAAAGCAGACACTTCTGAGTTTGCTTGGGAAAATATGCTCACAATTCAAACCATCAGCAACATGTAGCACGTGAAGTGTTTCAAAAGCATCCACAATAAGCAAACTCAATTGAGTAAATCGGAAAATGTTGTCAATAAAGAGAATCGCATCCTGCCCTTCAGCATCACGGAAGTGTTCAGCCACGGTCAAACCAGTAAGGCCAACACGGGCAAGAGCACCAGGTGGCTCATTCGTTTGACCATAAACAAGAGCACACTTGCTTTCAGCCTGGAATTATACAAAAGAGAAAATCCACAAAGATAGGTGAGGATGGCTGGAATTATACAAGAAGCTCTGTAAACCAGATTGAAGGAAAAAATAGATTGAACGACCAAAAACCAAATTGAAACAGAAAGCAAAAACTAGAAATCGCAGATATTGACGATGCTGAAGGTGAGGATGGCTGGCCTGACTCAGAACATTGAGGAGATCTTGATGGGCGTGACGGTGAAGGTCATGACGGCGTGAACGGTGACAGCAGCTTCGAGACTACTTTACGGCAAGAATACGACAGCGTCGTGAAGATTGACGCAAGAATAATAGTTAGTGGCGGAGAAGATGTTGTACCAGAGAAGAGGGAAGATAGGGAAGAAGAGGGAAAATGAATTAGGGATCGGGCAGGAGTTTTAATTTAAAACGCCAATATTGCACAAGTTTATAGCGGCGTTTTTACAAAAACGCCACTATATATCTGGGCTATTGCGGCGTTTTATACATAAACGCCACTAAAGTACATGTTTTTAGCGGCGTTATATATTCGGATATTGCGGCATTTTTTACATAAATGCCACTAAAGTACGCGTTTTTAGCGGCGTTTACACAAAAACGCCATTATATATTTGGATATCGCGGCGTTTGTCCAAAAATACCACTAAAGTACGTGATTTTAGCGGCATTTTTGTGAAAACGCCGCTATATATTCGGATATTGCGGCGTTTTTTACATAAATGCCACTAAAGTACACATTTTTAGCGGCGTTTTCACAAAAACGCCACTATATATTTGGATATCGCGGCGTTTGTAAAAAAACGCCGCTACATATAAAAAATCACTGGCGTTTTCTATAAAAACGTCACTAAATCTTCCGCTAAAAACCATTTTTGTTGTAGTGAAAGGACAACATATAGGTTTAGTGCAGGTTCAAGGACAATATAAAGAGTAGTAGTTTATTCTTGAAACTTAAATTCGCAACACTGTGAAGTTAGTATTTGTCTTTGTTTTTTGGTTGGAGTAATGCAATTCATTCAAGTTTCAATGTCCAAAAGAATAATAGTTTCTGAAACTTAAAATCGCAACGCGAAAATGAAAATCGCAAAGCGAAACTAAAATCGCGTTGCGATTTTCATTTTCGTGTTGCGAATTTAAGTTTCAAATAGTTTTCTGCAAATTGAAACTTGATTGAATTGCATTACTTCAATCAAAAGACAAAACAAAGACAAATACTAACTTCACAGGGTTAAAGACTAAACAGTTTAGTAGTATTGGCAGCAACCGAATGATTTTACTAAGCAATCTAAGTGAAATGGTTAATCTATTACTGAAATTACCAATAAATTTATCATCAATTTAAATATGAAAAATCTAATAATAATACAAAAATTTCAAAATAAAAAAATTAAAAAAACTAACCCTCGGTGGTTGATTTTCCATTTCTGACCGTGAATGGTTGTGAGGGTGGCTCTGAGAGATGGTGATAGACGGATTTCGCCGGAGATGGGGACGGATTTCGCCGGAGATGGGGACGGGTGTCGCCGTAGAGAATGAGAGATGGAGATGAGACTGAGTTGTGATTTAGGGTTTTAGGTTATGATTTGCGATTATACTGTTTACATTTGTATTGCGAAACTAATATTGTGTTTCGAATTCGAAAATAAAATTCGCGTTGCGAAAATAAACACACTTTGCGAATTTGACTTCTGTATTGCGAATTACAGATTCGCGTTGCGATTTACAGATTCGCGTTGCGAATTTGTTGGTCATTTTCGCAAATCCAAAAAAAGTTGATTAAAATCATATATTATAAGGCATTTTCGGTCACTGAAGTTATTTTCTCATTCACTAATTTTACTTCAAAGACTGAAGTGAGAATAGGGAAAATGTTAATCATCGGCATCCGAGATCACGTAGAATTTTATGTTTTAAAGAGTAAATTTGAACTTTTAAAATTTTAAAGAAACGAGTTTAAATTTATAAAATTTTTAAAAATAAAAATAGATTTTTAATAAAAAAATATATTAAAAAATTAAATATATAATAATTTTAAAATTTCAAGACCACGACTGCTTCCTCCCGCCCCTTTCAGTCAATTCCTGAAAAGCATCCAAACCTTCGAATATTAGATACAATATGATTGTAGCATCCAAATAGTAAATTTACGTTCACACGAAGAATTAAATTAGTTAATTTTAAAAGTTTAATTTATTAGTCCTATTTTTCTCCTTTTTTTTCCAATCAACGTCTATGTCTTTTTTCTTAATCTTTGTGCTCTGCAATGATATCAGTTTTAATATTGTTCGACCGTCAATATTCTTTGTTTTTTCTTTGTTTTTATTATAGTGTATATTTATTTTTCTTTTTTTTATTTGTAATAATTTTATATTTATGACATTTTTTTGTTTTATGACACATTTGTAATAATTATTATAATTTTTAAAAATATAAAATTAAGATGAATGATAAAATTGTTTCTTATTCGTTAAAAATATTTTTATTTTCATAAATATAAAACTTTTAAATAATTTTCAGTATTAGCTTCGACCGCAGTGTAAAAATACTGTAAAACGGCTATAAACAACTAATTTTCCCTTTTCCCTTGGTCAACATCTTGAATTTCATTGTCTGACCTAAGCCAACTTGTTTTGATAAGGTTGGAAGCTTCTAAGGATAAAAGGTGTTGTGACTAGTACAGGGGTGAACATGAAGAATAGTAGGGCGTCACATGTGACGTTAGAATCATTTGATGCCGTGATGATTTAAACATAAGATGAAGGCAGATGAGGGACAGCCTCCCAAAACAAAATTGGATTTTGATAATCTTTCATTCAACTTTGAAATGGCAACAAACGGTAGACGGTTCAGCCTAGAAGCTACCTAATTTCCACAATTTCTCTTGGTCCACACCTGGGATTTTACTGTCTGGCTGACACCAATTTGTTCTGTCGTCACATATAATATCATGATACTCAGTTATTACTGATCACGTAGTCCACCGTAACATATTATTATTTAAAAGGTAAACTATAAGAGGGATCATCAAACTATAGTTATTAATCAATTTTACTATCGAATTATTTTTTATTTCAATTCAACCACAAAACTTTTTAAATAATTCAATCAGGCCACTATCCGTTAAAAAATAAAGGAGAGTCCGACATGGCCTTTAATAAATTTGCATAATTATATATTTGGATCTTAATATTGTCATAATTATATATTTGATCCTTAATAATACTTATTCTATCAATTTAGTCACTATTTTAATTTAATTAAATTGTGATACGTGTCAATATATGATTGGAATGTTTTATTTATGAATTTCAAATTATTTAATTAAATAATTTTTCTATCCAATCAGGTGGTGACACGTGATTCAAACCAGGGACAAGAGATAAGCTTCCAGACGGCAAACCATTGGGCCAAAGGTCACCAATGGCTCAAAGTCACAACAACTTTTATTTGACTTGTAAAAGTTTGTTAAGTTTAAAAAATTAAACAAATTAGTTGTTTAAACGAATTATTATTTAATTAAATAAATTAGTCACAACTAATAATTTTTATATAAATTAGAAATTTAAAAAAAATCGTTAATTCAAAAATCGACCGAATTAAACGAAATTTGTTTGGTTAATAATTTTCAAATAAATTTCGGTTCGATTCATAGTTAAAGGAAAAAAATTAGTTAATTCGGTTCGATGAATAATTTTCAAATTAATTCAGTTTGGTTAATAATTTTCAAATAAATTTTGGTTCGATTAACGAACAGAATTAACCGAATTTTTGCTTCGATTAATTCGATTAATAATTAAAAAATCAGTCAATTCGGTGCGGTTAATAATGTTCAAATTAATTTTGTTCGGTTAATAATTTTCAAATAAATTTTGGTTCGATTAACCGAGCCAATTAATCGAAGTTTTGCTTCGATTAATAATTAAAAAAATCGGTTAATAATTTTCAAATTAATTTAGTTCGGTTAATAATTTTCATACAAATTTTGGTTCGATTAACCAAACCGAATTAATCGAATTTTTGCTTCGGTTAATTCGGTTCAGTTAATAATTTTCAAATTAATTCGGTTTGGTTAATAATTTTCAAATAAATTTTGGTTTGATTAATCGAACCGAATTAACCAAATTTTTTTCTTTAACGGTTAATCGAACCAAAATTTATTTGAAAATTATTAGTTGTGAATAATTTATTTAATTAAATAATAATTTGTTTAAACATATAATTTGTTTAATTTTTTATCATTAACAAACATTTACAAGTCAAATAAAACTTGTTGTAATTTTAAACCATTGGTGACCTTTGGCCCAAATATATATTTTGGTTTGATTATCCTTGTCCTTAGTTCAAATCGCCTTGGGCACAAGTTTGTCCATATATATTTTCATTTTAATGTGGTGACACGTGTCACCACCTGATGAGATAGAAAAATATTTAATTAAATAATTTGAAATTCATAAATAAAACCTTACAGACACATGTCATGTTCTAATTGAATAATTAAATTTATTTAATTGAATTAAAATAGTGACTAAATTGATATACTATGTAAATATTAAGGACTATATATAAAATTATGCCAATATTAAGGACCATATATAAAATTATGCCAATACTAAGGACCAAATATATAATTATGCAAATTTATTAACGGCCACGTCGGACGCGCCATTATTTTTTTAACGGAGAGTGGTATGATTGAATCAATTAAAAAGTTTGGTGGTCGAATTGAGACAAAAATAGTTCGATGATAAGATTGATTAATGATCATAGTTTGGTGGTTTCTCGTGTAGTTTACCCTTATTTAAATTGTTTTTGTTAAATAAATATAAAAGGTTAAATTATACGTTTTTGTACATAAATTATTACTTTTGTTTTATTTTAGGTCCCGTTTGACATAAATTTTAAAAGCACTCTTAGATAAATAATCTGTTTTAACAATGAAATCAATGCCAAACAAGTAAAAAAAAAATATGGTGAGAAGGTGATTTCAAACTAATCGTAAA